CTTTCTTTCTTTCTTTCTTTCTTTCTTTCTTTCTTTCTTTCTTTCTTTCTCCTTCCTATTTAAAGTAGAGTGAAGATTTATTTTTTTTTCTAAGAAGAAAAGCAGTTAGTGTCTCCTGAGTCAGAGTGTTGAACATAAATGCTGGAGACATTGACTCCAAAGAAAGTTAACAGACAAGATATAATAGTAATAATAACAATAATAATAGTAATACAATTAACTACTTTTACTTTAATATTTGCAGCCACTGAAACTCCACAGCTGTACTTTGTTGTAACCACCAATTCTCCTCTTTCATCAGAATGCACAAAGGTGAGCTGCTGTAGTCTTGAGAGAAAACAGCTGATTTGATCTTCCCGGGTTCATAGTGATTGAGCCCTTGAATCACCACGTTTGGTCTTTATCATCTAATTAAAACAGACTGGCAAGATACTTATGAGATGAAGATAATGAGTGTTTTTTCCCAAGGTCTCAGGTTGTTTAGTAATTGTTCCAGACAACTTGGAAATATTCTTGTTTCTGGTTTTTATAAAATAATGTCTCTGGGCATTTAAATCATTGACATTAGCAACTGATGTTATTGCAACAATGTTTAATCTATATTTTATGTTTCAGGCATATGCATCCTTTTTATCTCTGCAAGGAATCCAAGACAGTTTTTTAGCTCAAGTGTTGTGACCACCCCTGACTTCACTTTGTAGGGCATGGGTCAATTAAGTCCTGATTTTATTTTTTAATTTATGAATTCTCTCTTTGAAAGTCAAACTTAACAACAACAACAACAACAAAAACAAAAACAAAAACAAAAAAACAGGGAAATAAATCTTGTGAAACAAACTTAGGTGGATTATCTTTTCCTAGCTGGACATGTAAATACCAGATCAAAAACATACTAATTTCTTACAAATGTATTTCTAACAAGCGGACTACCTTCTCTCTTCACCTGCTACTATAAGGAAACAGAGAGGAGAAATATGAACCTATCTATGAGTAGAAGTATGAACCTATGTCTTCTTTATTCATTTCACTGATAATGACTAAAGGACATGTTTTCATATGGCGAATAGCTCCCACTGTCTACTTCATACCAAGCACTTCTCCTATGCATGTATTATTTTGCATGTACTCATTCACAGTGAGTTTGATACTTTACACATAGCAGACTGTCATCAAGCCCAGGTATTCAATCCAAGAGCATGTTATACAGTGGAACAATAGAAATTAACTCAGAGCAAAGGGCAGACCCGGGTCACTCCCTGAGCCTTTTGATCGTGTAAATATTCTCATAAAACGAAATAGCTTTTTTCTGCCCTTGTTTTGTTTTGTTTTGTTTTGTTTTGTTTTGTTTTGTTTTTTCCTTTTCTTTTTGGTTAGCATAAAGGTACACAGGAAGAAACAATGCCATGAGCAGGTGCCCCTGACTTAAACATGTTACCAGATGTAATTTGTCCCAAAAGGTCTCATTATAAAGCCAAGTAATGGTCAACAGCAGCAGCACATCACGGCCAAGATTAAATTCCTCAAAAGGACATGTGCCAAGCTTGCTTGGGGGTGGAATTAGTCCAAATTGATTTAAGGACGTAGTTGAGCAGGACACAGCCCCCCCCAACCCCCAGCATGTAGCTCAGTGTTCTGATTACCAGTCTAGGAGGTAACAGGTTCATCCTGTCCCGATTCTCAGAATTTGCTAGCCCTCATTAAGTGAGACTTCTTTGGAAACAAGATAGGTCTAAATGGCCAATGAGCATCCTGGTCTGCAAGGTCACTGCTGACCACAGAGGGTGAGCACAGAGCCTCCCCTCCCTGTGTGGGTGTGAGGGACGGGAAGGAAGGTAACTCAGATGAACGACAAGATAAACATTTGCAGGAGTGATTAACTATGTGTTTTCTAATGCCCAGTGCAAATGCCACCTGATTCAGGAAGTGACCACATCGGTTTGGAAAACAAGAGTTTTTTCCGCTGTTAACTGCCCTTTGCTTAAAGGGCCTTTCAAATGGCAATGGTGCACACAACGCTTGCGCAGACTGTGTGCTATCCCTAGGCAACTTTTCCATTCTTTCCTTTGCCCTCAGCATCAGTCGGAAGTAATAAGGGAGGTTGGTTGCCAAGACCAAAGATGTGTGTCCACTTTTTGACCTGCACATGGACATCAAAACATGGCAAGATTTTCCTTCACATCTGTAACCCATCTACAGTTTCTATTTCACTGTTAGCAGTTGGATAAGGATTCTGTCCACATTTATGGACTTGAGGGGTGATGAGCAGAATACAAAGGACATCTTTTAGCAAACAGCTGCCAAATAAAAGGGCAAGCAAAATCTGGCTCAGTTTACCCAGCTAGCCTTGTTGAAAGCCACAGATGACTTAATACTTAGATTTGAATGAACAGACCAATGAGCCATTTCTACACCTGATGGCAATACTGGCCAATAGTATCTGCAGCATTGGGAAAAAAAAAATTAACTTGGCTTAGCACCAATGGCTGGATTTTGTAGGTTTGGTTTCTTTTTGGTTTTGGTTGGTTGGTAATCTACACAGTGTTTGGTACATACTTAATTATCCTTGATCATGCTTTCCCATGTTTCTGCTTTTGACAAGGAAAACAAACCTTGGGTTTGTTTGTGTCCTTTACTGTTGGTGTCATTTATGAGGGTCTGCGTTATTCTTCCTTCGTGTCCTAGAGATCACAAACAGGCTCTAGTCAATGCCCTTTTATTGAGTCCTTACCCCATGGCCAATGGGACTCTTGGTACAGGAATAGGCTGTAGACTTTTGAAATGCCACTTCTTTGTGTCAATAAAATTGTGCATATTTCCTATCAAGGCTCACTCTGTAGTTAACCAGATGCACAAGCACACAGGAAAAATTGCTGTGACTGTTCGTCATCAGCCAGGGTTTAGGCTAGTTATTTGTGGAGGCCATTCTGGGGTTTTAGAGTAGTAAACACAGTAATATCAACAGATTCAGTGAAAAATTGATAACAGATGTCAAGGAGGAACATTTAGAATAAAAAAAGAAAAACTCAACTGAAAGACTATCTGCCCAGGACATTTTGTAATTCAGTGTATTACAAACCATAAAGTTACTAAAAATCAATGTATGTGGCTTATTATTCATTCTGATGACCTGTAGCAGAGCCTTTGGGAATGCAGAGGGTGGGCAAAGGAAAGGGGGAACACAGGACCGTGAGTTAAGAAAGAGAGTTATGATGAAGAGGAAGCTATGGCAAAACAGGTCAACTCTGCAGATAAGTTAGACACGCAGCCTTCCAAACAAAACCTTCACCAAGGAAGTATGATTTATAAAGGAAATGAAAGTCTGCAAGCAAGCCAAGGAAAGCAAAAAGAAAGGTATAAGAGCCAAAATGATGAAGGACAGAACTTTTTTTCCAACATGAAATAAAAATACTTGGTTTCTCCTAATGGAAGAAAACACTGGACTAATTTTTGAAAACCAAAATGATAAAAGAAGTTGGGATTTGGTATAAAAATACAGACAGCTTACTTTCTATTTTTTTCCAGGGACTCGTTTTTTTTAATCAGATGAGAGGTTAAGATATATTAAAAAATAGAAAGTACTTCTTCAAAGCAATTGCCCAAAGAAGATGAGAGAAGCTAAAAATATATACCTCAATCAAGAGGTCTATTTTCTCCTCAAAAGAGTATGGGTTTAAAAAAAAATACAGAAAATGTGTAAGTGAAGAAATGAGTTTGGCTGAGCTCATGAAGAGCAAGGCCATTCCCTGAAGGCTAAAAGCAGAGAAATCCACCCGAAGTGAAGAGGTGGAAAAGAACATGCATGTTTGCATGGAGCCCTCCTTCAGTTTCACTGTTGAAAACAGCAGTCTCACACAAGCATCCCCTAGGGATGGGGAGAGTTGTGGTCTTTCCCAGAATCAAGTAATATTTGGTGGAGAAGAAATGGAGGGAATGAAAGGCCAAGAAGAGTAAGTAAACCAACATATTTCGGCCCCAGGTTTCCTCCAACCCTTTCTCTCCTAAATCCCTAAGAGCTGACTCGTTCAAGTGTTTGTGTGGCGCTCTAGAGCAGACAATCAAGGCAGGAAATAGAGCTCTGCATTTGAAATGTTAATCCCAACAGATCAATAATTACCACATTGTTTGCTGCAAAACAAACCTTTTGACCTGCTGGCTATGCAATATGGTTCTTGCTCTCTACTAGGATGGGCAGCCTGCTGCTTCACAGTGAATTAGCTTCTCCTTTTTAAAAGTAGAAAATTCAATTACGTCTCACTTCCGGTTTGTGAACACTTTGAAGTAATAAAAGGAGGGAAATGGAAATATCCACTTAGGATGATGGAAAATGACTTTAAAACAGAATAGCTCAGTTCTGTATCTCCTAGCCAATCAACTATATTAAGTTGAAGGTCATTTGGACAAAGGATAGATTGGCCAATTTATACAAATATTAAATTAGAAAAGAGAAATGGAACTTAAAAGGGACTCCTGTACTTTTCCCACACGTCTGTGATCTTGAAGCTTTTAGGAATAATCGTGGGAGTCTGTCTGGACAGTAAAGGTCTAGGGAGCTAATGAAAGAAAATGGGCAGTGATGATGGTATGGATGACGGTACTGAGTTAAAGTAGCTGGATTCATGGCACAGCCTCTTGACTCTTAGGAATCATAGTTTCCTGCCATGCTTACGCTCCAGTTGGGGGTTAGTGTACACAGCTGAAGCTGAGAGATGGAGGACTGTAAAGCCACTACCAGGGATAGGAGTTGGGAAAACAGTGCTTGGTGTTCATTAAGTGGGAACAGCAAGGCAAGCCTTTGTTCTTCCCGGAAGTAACAGTTCTTCTCTTCTGTGGACTTTGAAGGGAACCCAGTACATTCAAGAAGAACTTATTGAGTCCTACATTGTCTGCCACTTTGTCAGCATGAACTTGCTCACATTTTCCTCCCAAGGATGAGGCCTTGCCTATTACTTTACAGTGAGTGTGCAGGGCTCATAATTAATTGGATCAGGATTACTTGACCCAAGCCAATAAATTATCAGATGTTTTGACCTTACAGATATTAATTGAGTGGCTGGTACCACTCAATTAATAAATATAAAGTATACTTCATCTTTCCGAAGATGAGGCAAGGCTTTATTTCTTTTAATTCTGTAACTATTTAATGTTATGCTCGAGACATGGAAGTATTAAAAAGTATAGAATTTATAAACCAGCTCTCTGAGGAGTCAAATAATCTTCAGTGAATAATTGAAAGGGGTGATTCTACGGATGAATGACAGCGTTACACACTTAAAAAGCAGCCCTCATCTGGAGGAAAACGACGGAATCCATATTCATGACTCACTTGTGGGTCTTGGCAGGCTTCTCCGGCTTCTCATTATATGGAATGACAAGGTCAACGGCAGAGTCTGGCTTCTGAAGAAGCGTCCCCAACTTAAACTTGATCTCCTTGGCCCTGAAAGGATAGATGTCAGGGAGCAAGAACGACACATGAACACACAAATCTAAAATAGTGATTTCTTTCCGCGTCAGAGAAAAGACAAAGGCAAAGAACCTCATTTGCTTCTTTCATTCCCGTTGCAACATAAAGAACATAAAGCTGGACACACGAGTTCCAATAATTAGTGTTTAAAGACACCAGTTAATTCGTATTATCTCATTCCAACCTTAATTGTTCCATTCATATTTTCTATTTCTATATGGCAGGTCATATAGCTTTAGTCCCATTTTACAGAGGAGTAAACTGAATGACAGTTTAAATGTCTTAATACATGCCAGTCAATTTGCAGTCAAGCCCAAGCAGTCTGTCTCCAGAATCCCTAAGTTTAATCACTGACAGAGCTTTCTATCAGTCTCCCGAGGGCTCTGGCTCTGGCCGTCAACTAGATGCATTACATTGAACAATTTTGTTTTTATTTTTACTGCCAGATCTCTGTCCCCTTTCTAGAAAATAATAGAGTAAAGCTAGATGTCTTTGAGAGACATTTCCAATCATAAAATTAAACTACATTTGCTTGCTTGTTCTGAAAGTCTTGGCTCACTGACCCACTGCAGCTGGCGTAGTGTCCTACTTGTAGTGACCTTCATCAAGGAGATTGATATCCAATAGGTGGACTAGAGACTTAATAGTCCTTTAACTTCGGCATCTTAGTGAGCAGATGTGGTCAGAATTCTGAACAGTCTACCATCATAGAACGTGATGTGATGGTTTTCACCCAGTTTTTAAAACCAGTCTTTGAAGCAGATTTTCATCATGATTCCATACTTTAAACAGACCACAAAATTATATAAACTATCTATCTATCTATCTATCTATCTATCTATCTATCTATCTATCTATTTATCTATCTATTATCCATCCATTTAGATTCTAACTGTCTAATTGTGTATATATGTATCTATGTGATGTGTGGGTGTCTGAGTGTACGTGTGTGTTCAAAAGTGCCAAGACACATCTGTCTAGGTTAGAGAATACCTTTTGGGCGTTGGCTCTCTCTACCACTTTGATTAGGCAAGGCCCTCCATTTCTGCTACTCTGAGTGCTCTAATCTAAATTCTCTGAGAGATTCCAGGTGCCCCTCCTGTTGCCACCGCCCATTTCATCGTAGGAGTGCCAGGATTATAGATGTGAGCCATAGGCATCAGGCTTGCTCTGTTTTCTAGGTATGGAACTCTGGTTTGGGCTTATGTTGAAAGTATACTTAACTGATGAGCCATCTTGCCAGCCCTAAAATCCTAATCTTAAATGCTAATTCACGGGAGCAGTGGTGTGCTGGGAAACCCCAGACCGCCCTTCCCTTGTCACCGAGGCACTCCACATGCACATTTAAGATAGAGTTTATCATATTGCATTATGGTTATTGATTTGTGCCTGTTTTCTAAGCTGTATAGAAGAACCCTTTCACGGTAGAAGTCAAGTCTTAAATGCCTTTTAATCTTTGTGCCTGGCACAGTTGCTTGGCAACCTAGCAAATCCTCAATAGCATTTGTCTACATGAACTAAAATTATCTCTATTTTGTTTCTTACCAATCTATTAACATTTGTCTCTAAGTCAGTGCCAATCATAAGCAAAGCCTTCAAGAGCTATTATGGGTCCGCATTGTCACCAGACAGGATTTTGATATAGCAAACAAACCTTTTTAACTTATGCATAGATAGCAAAGCGGTGATGTGCAAGGCTAAGATGAACACTTGTGCAAATGAGAGTCGCAGTCAAGAAAGGCCAGTCTTGTAACTTCAAAAACCCACAAATATCCAAATACTAACTGAATGTCCTATTAGCCCAAAACATGGTGTTGAAACTGACTCAGAAACAATTAATTATGTGCCATCTTCTTATTGTGTTTCTTTTTGCTTTCGCTCTTTCTCTAGAAACTTCCCGGTAAGTGAACACCACTCCAGAGCCCTTTACCAAGCAGAGCTCACGCTGAAGAAAGCATTTTGGTAGAAATGGGGAATGTCCTACTGGGAAGAAGTGACTTATATAATGCAGTGAGTAAGACACATCTCCCCTTGATGCCAGGCTCTTCGAGTTCCTTAAATTATCCGATGGCAAGTTCTCCTGGCTTGAAAGTTGGGGCTGATGAAATGGTTAAGACCTCGTACTTTCATGATGATTAAATGTGCTGACACATGTGAATCACTGAGCACAGCATTTGGAATATTATAATTCTGCTTCCGCAAAGTTAGCTTTATAACTGCATAATCATTGTTTTCAACCAGGTTTAGCCCATGTTTCCTACCAATAAGCACCAAATGAAAGGGTCAAAATTATATAGGTTATTGTTCAAATCATGAATTATTCCCCAAATATTCTAACTCTGGAAGTAAGACTATCCATATATTATTTGGAATAAAAAATATATATTATTAGGAGTTGATTGGGAAATGACTGCAGCACTTGTGACTGCCCTCTGCTGGCGAATATGTAGCACTACAGTCAGAGATACAAGGTCAAGCCCGCTACTCCATCCAATACGAAGAGAGTGTTCTGCCTCTTGGCCTCCACATGCCTCTCCATTTGTGCCCATAAGGAGAACCATTTTCAGTGTTGGCCTTGACACAACACTACATCCCCCCAAAACTTACATAGACACTAGTGTAAGCTCTCGTGTTTGGGGGTTTTATTGTTTTGTTGGTCCTTTAGAATCTGGGCTTCCTCCTTTTCACCCTCTTCCTCCATTTCTCTTTCTTTGTCTTTTTCTCTTTTGCTTCATCTGAGCCATTTGCTTTTTTTTTTTTTTTTAAGGGCAGAAAGATACTGGTTTGTAATTTTCCATGCAAAAGCAATAGTCACGCATTAAAGGGCAACTGGAACAAAGGAGATGGACATTTTAAAGTAGTCATTCATTCATTCACTCATTCACTCATTCATTTCTTGCTAATTTAGAAATTGATTATGTTTGCTATATCAGGTAGCACATAATAAACATACAAACACCATAGCCTTAGTGCTTGCTTTTAAGATGCTTCTAGCCTATTGAAGTCTTCCATTGGGGTTTCCAGAAAGGAGCACAAACTGCAAAGAAAGTCCCAGTTCCCACTAGTGTGATCACAAGAGATTCCCCAGGGGAAGCAGAGGTAAATTTGGAAGACCTTTCTCATTTCTCACAAATTGTTAACATTCATCTGATTGGCCTTTTAGGGCAGAAAGAAGGCCATGTGATGGAAGGAGGATGACATGGCACCACCATGCTGCCCCTAGATGGTGACATATTTGGCATGGGTGCAAGAGTAACACTAAAGAAAGGGCTCTTCAAAAACATGTCCATGTAAAGAGGGGGACAGCAATTTTATTAACTCAGGTTGGTCCAAATTATCTTTGGCTATCCATTTCTGAGTGCATTTTTCCATAAGGAATGCTTATTTAAAAAAAAAGAGTGAAACATAACCCTAAAAATATTTCACCTGTATCATTTGTTCAGTGGGATTCATTTTTTTTTTTGTGTGTGTGTGTGTGGTGTGATCTTTTTAAAATGCTATTTATAACACCACCTATTTAAAAAGTTCATGTTCTCAGGCTGGGAATGAATCTCAGCCCTGGGTTTGACCCTCAGAATCATATAAAGTGGGTATGGTGGCAAAAGCCTACAATCCTACCATTTATAGGCAGAGACAGGTAGATGAGAAGTTTAAGGTTGCCCTGGATTACATGGGCATCTTGATATATACGATACTCACCGTGTGTGCTCATGCATGCGCGCATGCACATTCCCTTTCTCAGAGCTGATAGCTATATCAGAATATCAGGTACAATTTTCCTCTTGTTTGCCTTGTGAAGGCAATAGAGGGGAAACAGTGTGCTTCATTCCTGGTTTAGCATATGGGCTCAAGAAGGGGACACTGAAAAGTCCAACTGACCAGGTTATCCATTTATGATCATGCAGGAAAAAGATGAGTATTACTGCATTCATGCTCATCAGCAGTGATTGTTTAAAGTTGGTAAATGATCAGGTTCCAGCCACACTGAGTACTTGGCATTTTCACAAAACAAAACAAACAAGCAAAACACACACACACACACACACACACACACACACACACACACACAAACAAACAAAACCTCAGAGTTGCTACACTGCTCTCTTGAGAGTTCCTGGAAAACATCTTTGACCATGATTGCGTTCCTTCCCGGCAGAACCTCATAGCGTGAATCAATGGGAAAACCAAGCAAGCTCAAACTTGCAGAATTTGTTTCCTGTCTCATGATGAACTTGAACGTATCTGACATTAATTTAATTTCAAAATCATCTTTATCTGGAGAGAAAAACCTTCTAATTTGTTTCCCACATCAGCCATAGTCCCCAGGGTTTTGTTTTGTTTGCTTGTTTGTTTGTTTTTTGTTTTCTTTTGACTGCACACAGGCGTTTTCCCCCGGCTAGGTTACATTAATGCTGATTAACGATTTATAACTCCTCTGGTCTTCCTCCCCCCTTCCTCCTGTTTTTCTTTTGTGTTACAGGGGGGATAAAAAACTTGCTCTGAAATAAAATCAATTGGAAACGCCTGGCTGAGAGTTTAATTAAAGGCTCAGAGGAAGGTAATTCTGGAGATGAGTCATAGCGGGGATTTCAAGCTGCAGTGGTCTAAAGAGTAGCAATGCTAAATCTGCTGCTCCCCAAATAGATGTGCTGCCCAGGAGGCTGGGAACCCACAGGCCATGGAGCACCTTGGTCCTTTCTGCGAGCGGAGACGCCGGATGCAAGTTCTAACCTTCAGGTGGCTGTGTGTGCGAGGCCAGCACCAGGACTTGACCGAGAGCTATGGCGAGGATCTGAGTGTAGGAGTTTCCAGGATTAAGATGATCTTTCTGGCCCTGGTGACATTTTGGAACAACTCCAAAGGGCACATCTATACGCCACATAAACTACATAGTAGCTGTTTTACCAAAGCTGAAAAATATTGATGGGATGCAAGGCTGAAGAGATGATAGGAGTTCTTGCTTCCTAAAATAG